TGGACTGTTATGCTCCTTGAGCCAAAATAATTCCTCCCTCTCTCAAGTTGTTTCTGTCACGACCATAAAAACAACCAATACAATGTCCCATCTTATTTATCCATGCTATTCCACTTGACATCATAATGGCCCCATGACATAGCTAGCAAGGGCTGCTCACCCATCTTGCAGATTGAGCGGTGGAAGTCCATGGAAATTGAGAACTTATCCAGAGTCACTTCTTCAGTTTCAGTGTCATCTTCCACTCCATTTCCAACATCTGTTCACTAAATCCTATTTCTGCTAGTCCTTGTGGGACAGAGACTTCAGGAGGCGGCACCTCTTACGAGAGACCCATTCCACATGTGCTGCCTACTGCCTCCCCATGCTGAGCCAGAAAAGCAGACCCATTTAATAACAAGCTCCCCACAAGCAGCACTTCTTTCTGCCTGCACTGCCCTCTAATTCAGAGAGAGTTTCCGGGCCTGCTTTTCCATTTTTTTTTTTTTGACTGACACCAACAACATTCTCCTGTATCAGAGACAAACTGTAGTCCTGTTTCGATTCAAGATGTAGCATAGCTTTTCTTGTAAGTTAATCATAAGGTGGGTTTTCTTAGTTGCAAAGCCCTCCCAGACTTGGCTCAATGGGAGAAACGGGATTCGAAGGGGAAAGTGTGGACCACATGTCACCACGATGACTCACTGTATACTTGAAGTCTTGCTGAACTATGAATTAGAACTAAATTTAGTTGGATGCAGTCTTACTGGTTTGGAGGAAAATGGTGATGACAAGACATATCCTTTCTGGCTTTCTAAAACCCCCGGGCATAGTGGCATACATTCTGATGTTCCAGAAACTCCTGCTGTGTATGAAAGAGGTAAAGAATCAAGTCCAAGTAAAAAGGAGAGAAAATGAAAACATTTAATTCTCCAGTATATGAGGTGCCCTGGTGTTATTATCTGAATTCAGAGGTACAAAAAAGAAAAAAGAAAGAAAGAAAGAAAGAAAGAAAGAAAGAAAGAATATCAAAGGATTTCAGCAGAAAAGGAAGAAAACTGTGCATTTAATAAAAGTCTAAGATTAAAGGGGTATTGGGAAAAAATGCAATCAATGTGTTAACTCGGTGGAAGAGATCTATGCAATCAATGTGAAAAGTCTAAGTCTTAAGTAAATAATAAGTATGAGGACGCATGGAGACAGACACAGGCCATGACCATCCTGTGTGACAATCAAGGAAATGAAGCAAAAGCAGGTCACATGTTTCTTCATGAAGTTAACTGATAAACTCAGTGATAAGGATAATGACATGGAGTGGTTCTTCAATGACATGACAATCCCAAAGTGGTGCTAACTGATGCCAATCACTTTGAAAGCAAGATGGAAATGGCTTTGAAGATAGTCCTCTCTGACATGGCAATTCCAGTTTTCAGGTTCAAACAGAAAAATGACAGCCTAAGAATGAGAAACCATTCTGCACACACACACACACACACACACACACACACACACACACACATATATATGTTAGAAAATGAACCAAGGGTGTGTTGGCACATGCCTTTAATCCCGGCACTTGGGAGACAGAGGCAGGTGGGTCTCTGTGAGTTCAAGGCCAGCCTGGACTTCAGAGTGAGTTCCAGGACAATCAGGGATACACAGAAAGACCCTGTCTTGAAAAGTCAAGAAAATAAATCAGTTGTTCATACACTAGAGAATGGGGTTGTAAACTATAGCTTATCTTCTCATTAGGATAATAGGAAAATCTAAAAATTTGGAAGCTAAGGTTAAATAAAAAGAAAGTGCGATTTTTAAAAGTGTATAAAATATATTAAATATTTTATTCATATAAAGACCTGTTTATCGTAACTTTATTCCTAATTGCTCACACTGAGAAACAATCATTATTTAGGTGAAAGATGAATAAACTGCTTGACAACTAGACAAAGGAATATTATTTGGTACTATAAAGAAATGAGCCACCAAACTAGGGAAAGACATGGAGAAAGAAGCCTTAAGTGCCCGTTGTTATCAAGTGAAAAGAACTAGTCTGAGTAGGCTACATTTGGTGTATTCACAGCCCTACAATGTCCCAGAACCAGCAGAGTTGTGGAGCCAGTTAAAGCAAAGGTCAATGGTTTCTGGGACCTGAAGGGTGAGGATGGGCAAAGCACAGAGGAGTATTAAGACTGCAAAGCCCCTCTATAGGATATTATAACGCTGTGCACACTGAGTATTTGTCCAAAGCCACAGAGCAAGGCAAGTGATCCCTGATATTACCTAATATTGCTGTGGGTGCTCCTGACGATTCTGCACAGGCTTCCTTCCCAATTGCAGAGTGTGGGGTATTGAGAAAACCTCTGTACCTCCTCATTTCTTCTGTGAACCCAAAACCGCTCCAAAAATAGTCATTTTTTTTTTAAGGAGAAAAAAAGTTGTGGAAATATTTACAAAGGTTGACTTGTGGTCATGACAGGCTTATTTCCTTTCATTTCCATGCCTATAATAACCATCTTAATCCACAAAACTGCCTCATTTTATTTGAAAAGAAAAATAATAAACATGTCAAGAGTTTAAAAGGCTGCAGAACCAAGCTCTGCGTGTTTGTCTGTTTAAGCAAGCCCTTGTTTGCTCTTGGTGGTCAGAGTTCTGTAAACTCCCATTCCTTTTAGCTATTTGTGAATTTACACAGTGGGCCCTGCACTCTACAGCTATGACCACTTAGCCTGTTCCCAAAGAAAATAAGTCATCCTTGGGGAATCTCAGTGGAGACACATCCTTAGCCTTTTTCCCACACTATGTGAGGAGTCTTCACTTTGTTTCTAAATATTTAGGATCATTGTTACAATAGCCTGTAACTATATGACTACATTTACTTGTGTATAATTATAAATGTATCCAGCAGTAATTCTCTATTATGTTTCCTATCTGTGTAGTTTCCCCAGCATGCCTATTAGTATAGAGTGTTTCTCAGTAGATGTTACCTTAGAAATGTATCTAACACTTGGAATTTTTCTCTCGACAATGTATCTTACTTCATCAGTACATAGGTCACTGCTTTATTCCTGTTTTAATTCACAACTACCAGCATAAGAATAACCATACTTGTTGGGCAGTGGTGATGGCGGCACACATCTTTAATCCCAGTACTTGGGAAGCAGAGGCAGGCAGATCTCTATGAGTTCAAGGCCAGCCTGGTGTACAGACAGCCAAGGACAGCCAGGACTCCACAGAGAAACCTTGTCTCAAAAAAACCAAACCAACCAAACAAACAAAAAACATACTTTATTTAACCAGCCAGCTGGCGAACACTTAGGCCATTCTGATGTCTGCTGGAATTTTGCAGTGCTGTAATGCTTAACTCTTATGCACATATCACTTCGTGTGCACACAGTGACATTCATGCAAGGGATTTTCAGAAGCGAGACTGCCATGTCAAAGAGGCCAAGGCTCTGTCATTTTTGGTAGATGTTGCCACGGTATGTTCCACCAGGGAAGGTCTTCACTCGGAGAAGCTCTGAAGCTCTGCATGCTTGTCAAGAGTGTTCACCCGGATTTGATTCTTGCCATTCTGGTATGCAGAGAAAAGAAGTCCTCTCTCTTTCCATCTTTTCATGACGACTTTAGCATGTTTATAGATGTGGGGCTCTTCTTTGAGATTACCCCTCTACTGACTGATCATTTTGACGAGTGATCATGGTCTTGACCACTTTAGAGATTTCTCATGACCTGAGGAGATAGACTTTCTTGAGAACCATGTCTACTAAGCTGGACTCGTTGCCTGGAAACAGAAGATTCTACAGGGAGCTTCCTTGTGAGGTGCTGGAGCCAATAGGAAAGCTTTGAAGCAAAACTGATGGCCATTCAGAGAAGCCCGTGTACCCCTCAGCACATGTGTAGAAGGATGAGAAGACTAGTCTTCATCGTCAACTAAAGGGGATTCAGAATCAACACAGATACACCTCTGACACATCTGTGGGAGCCTTTCCAGAGAGATTTAGCTAAGGTGGAAAGTTCACCTTAAATGTGGTGGTACCATGCCTTGGGCTACCTAACATCTTGGACTGAATAAATAGAGAAATGTAAGCTGAACACCAGCATTCATCTCTCTCTGATTCCTGAGTATGGATGCAATGTGACCAGCTGCCTCCTATGGATGCTGCCATGACTTCTCTGCTGCAATGGACTGGGGCATCAAACTGTCAACCAAAGTTAACCCTTTCTTCCTTGTACTGCTTTCATCAGCAGCAAGATAAGTGAATAATGTAAGAGCCAAGATCAGCTTAGTTCACTTGTTCACTGCTTATCAACAGGTTAGAGTGATCTGTTAGTTCCATGGGCTTTGACTTTCTTTAATAGAAGTCTTGTCATTCCCATCGACTGTTTAATCATGGACAGAACATAGAAAGAAACAGAAACAGCCCCACAGGATCAGCTGACTGGAAAAATGACACTTCTCAGAGCAAACTCATTTGCCTGTCTTAAAAATGAAGGCACCATAGAAGCAAGCCCCTTGTACTTATGGAGAACCCTGAAGGTGCAGCTCCCCTGAGTCCCTTCTTACTTTGCTGAGAAGCACTTGGTTTGGGGATTATGGCACCCAAGGTCATGGTCAAAGAATGTTGACTCTAGGGAAGCTAGCTCAAGTATATGTATATTTTTGGTGACATCATTAGTGGCCAATCATACATGATTAGCCAAGTTACACTTTACCCAATTAATGTAGCTATACACCATCAGTTTGTACATCTCAAACTAATGTGGATAAGCTGGTCCTTGGTTATTTCAGGGAATTTGAACTTTGAGAAACATAAGTCTCAAACTAGTTCACGTTATCACCTTTATCTTGGCCAAGGCAGAGTGGCAGACTTTCCAGCATCTCTCGAGACAGTGTAAGACACTCCCTGACTATAGACCTCCATAGGGTCTTTAAGAGCTCCTGGGAGCCACTAGTTACTTTCCCATTCTGATTTTCAGCAATGAATAGACATTGGCTTCAACTAAAGTTTTTTCTTCTACAGCTCTGGGGAGACTGTCACCAGTGTGACCAGCTTGGCCCCGCTGCATCCACAGAAGGGCAAGAGGCAGAAGGAGAAGGTAGATGTCCCACCTGCAGTCCCTGCCAAAGGTAAGAATCAGACCTGAAATTTCTTAAGTGAAAGTCACCTTGACTGATGCAGGGGTGAGCCTGGAGTCAACTGTGGGATCAGGGCAGAGGAATGGATGGATGGGGGACTTGCCATTCACTGCTACTGTAGTGCAAACAGTCACCCTGATAAAGTCTAGACAAAACAACCTAGGATGAGGTGGGAAACAGGGCACCATAGATTTGGCCTCAAGCATTGAGGTACGTCAACATGCACAGGAATGCCTATACTGTGGACTTTTTTAAAGGTGAAGTGAGGCAGGGGCTGGCAACATCTTCTTGGTTCTTAAAGAGAAAGAACATCTCTGATGCTTTAAAGATGTATGCAGTACATTTCAGACATATTCTGCTGATAAAATACATATTCTGTGACTGGTTATTCTGTGGCTGCTGTTTTTATTTAAAGCAATAGGAATGAGCAAGAAAGGGTTTTTTTTTTGGGGGGGGGAAGGAGGCATGGATCTTACCAGAACCAAGGATATACCCTATTTAGATATTTAGAGTGTCCTATCTAGATGTCCAATCCTCAACAAATTTGAGTTATCGATATAAGAAGACACAACTTTAACATGACAGAATGCATTTCATCCATTCACTGAGCCCTCTGGAAGAAGCTGGAAGAGGCATAGCTGAAAGGAAGAAAGGTTGGGAGGTGTGGGAGCTTGGGAGGGAAGGAGCAGAGATCACCTCAGCCAGGGCTCACATCTCTATATTGTGTCAGTCACTGCAGCGTGGACATTGTCCTAGTTACAAAAGATGCAGATTGCACTTGGGGAATGAAGTCTTGGACTGGGCTTTCAAATCTAAGTTCAAGTCATGTCAGTCAAGACTAGCTATGACACTGGAAAAATAGCTTCTGCTTCTATTAAACTGGGACAGTAAGCCTCTCCTTGATGAACTCACAGGATTGGGTGAGGGTCAGCCACTGTCTTGGGGTTGGGGGAGATCAGAGTCTCCAGGGGGAAATCCTACCCCAGCTTTGACCAAGGGCTACTGGTTGTCTCTCACCCCCTTGACATATGTGATGGTGACAGAGACATACAGAACTGTTGTGACCTGGCCTAAGGGAGGGAGTAACATGTCTAAAGATGAGGGATGATTGTTCTCCAGTTAGGGGTGCCCAAGGATATCTACCCCAGAAGCTTGAGCTCTTCTTGGGGCTAGGAAGGCTCACATAGTCTGCACACAGAGAGTCTGTGATGACCATGGAAGGTGGGCATTAAGAGGCCTTGGAGGAATTTCAAGCTAAAACTTGGTGTCCTTCCACAGCTCCAATAGTCACCACATTCCACAAACCAAAGCTGCTGAAACCACAGAGGAAAGTCGCCTTGGTGAGTAACTGTTCTTTGTTATTGTGGTCCCTCTAACACAAGAAATTGTGTAAGGGTCCAACAGTACCACTACAAGCTCTAAATACGTTAAAAAAAATCTGTTACCAAAGGCATTATCTCTTCTCAGATCAGATTTTGAGTCTGTTCTTCTCCACCTTAATTTCTCAGAGTGACCTTCCAAGGCAATCCAAATGGAATTACCTATCACTGTAAATGTTCCCCTACAAAAACAAGAGCAAATTCGTCATATACAGAAGGGTATAAAACAGGAAGTGTACCTGCTTGCATTAATTTACCCAATAACTCCCTGGAGAGGATGCTAATGATCTTTTCAGGAAAATATGTCATTTTTTAAACTTTGAAGAAGCTTTAGGTTTACAGAAGTAATCTCTGAGGTATGTTGAGTTTATATTGACCTTCACCCACTACTGCTAACATCTTACATAGCTGGGGTGTGTTGGTCTTAGCCAGTGGTTTCTCAACCTGTGGATCATGAGTCCTTTGGGGAGGCTGAATGATGCTTTCACAGGTGTCACATCCCAGATATGCATATCATATTTATAGTACAATTTATAACAGTAGCAAATTTACAGTTATGAAGTAGCAACAAAAATAGTTTTATGGTTGGGGTCACCACAACATGAGGAACTGTATTAAAGGATGGCAGTGTTAGTAAGGTTGAGAACCACTGCTCTAGGTTATTAACCTCAGCATGATGTCCATGCAGTACCTCTGCTGGTTGTCCACTTTGGAGATACTCCAGCACCCCACAGTAGATGCCTAATACCATCGTTGTATCAAACGTAGGGTTGTATCAAACCCTACAAACTGCATGCTCCATTTTCTTCACACATAACCCTGATAATGTTTAGTTTCTAAATTAGACACAATAGAGTAACAATGGCCAATTCTAACATGGAACAATTCTAACATGGTTATTTAAAAGCTTATGGGTTATTCAATTCTGGAACTTTCCTTTTAAGATATTCTCATGGAGGTTGACTACCTGTAACTGAAACTAATGATGGTAGAGGGCAGCTGTGTGTCCTTGAGATGTGATGTCCATTTCAACCCATGGTGAAGGCCACACCTGCCATGCCCGAGGATTTTTTTGTTTTGTTTTGTTTTTCTGTCTGTCCCCTATATGTCAGAAGCCAGGCCCTATGTCCAGTTCACAGTAAAAGCAGGCAAAAGAACTTAGGCACAGCCTTTCAAAGGGGAAGAAATCAGAATTTGTGGACCTGTTTACCACCGCAATGATTAATAGTTCCTTTGAGAGCTGTGCCAAGGCTTCTTTCTGCTCACTTATGTCACATTTACCCTTGACGTTGTCCAAGGGAGTTTCTGTGGTGGCATGTCAATGGCAGTCTTCCATTCCCCACAGCTGGTCTGTCTTTGTCACTTAGAGTTCTATAAGTAAAAACTGCCCCTTTCCTCCATTTTTATTCACTAATTCTTTTGATATAAATATATGCATAGACATTTATGTAGTGATTTTAGTGTTTGATCATCTGTGATTTGTTTTGTTGCTAACATTGTTCAGCGGAAGTATTTGTGCTATGTATGTGAAAAAAAAATATTGTCAGAGCTATTACAATGTCCATGACAACAAACAACAGTTTATTGGAGCTCTTTATTTGTTCTTAATTGGACATCCATTGATATACATAGAATACATTCATGTATATGCGGGGTCCCACAATCAGCTGGGAGACAGTCGCCAGTCTTGAATCAAGAAACTTTCTTTAGTTTACAGCCTGTTGAGCCCTTCTCCTTTATCCATTAAACATAAAACCAGGCTGTGCAGTGCGTGGCTACAAAATGCTGTCTTAAGTGGTTGTTGTTTTTGTGACTTATCAGAAGATTGGATTCAACAGCACTTAAAATAATGAATGTAGTCCCCAGTGTGAGTGTTCATTGCTGACCCTTCTGTCTGTGTTTGTGTGAACTGAGAAGCTTCTGTGGATGGGGACTTTGCATAGGAAATGAAAAAGAAAACTTGTTTCAAAGAAGTATTTCAACTTAAGGTTTCTGTATGTATGTTTTTATCTTTTATTTTATTATTTTTAGTGTATGAGTGTTTTGTCTGCGCATCTGCCTGTCTGCTACATGTATGCAGTGCCAGAGACCAGAAGAGGGAGTCAGATCCCCTGGAGCTGGAGTTACAGATGGTTGTGAGCTGCCTCTGGGATTTATATCTAGGTCTTCTGGGAGAGCAGCCAGTGCTCTTAACCAGGGAGCCATCTTTCCAGCCCCAGGTTTCTTTATTTATGTGAAAAATTTATAGAAAAAAATCGATATAAATATGAGAAGATATAAACTATGAAATAAAATAAAATATTTGTAAATGGTCAGTCTATGAAACTCTCTTCACTAAAAGTAGATCAGGGTGGTTATATATATTTCAAAGTAATTGTTTAATGAAATCTTTCTCCCCTGTGTAGTTGTTTTATGTATATGAGTGTTTGGCCTGAATGTGTATGTGTGCCTGGTGCTTGCAGAAGTCAGAAGAGGGCATCAGATCCCCTGGACCTGGAGTGGCAGATGATTGTGAGCCACCACGTGACACTAGGAACTGAAGCCGGGTCCTCTGTGAGGAAGACAGGTGCTCTTGACCTCTGAGCTGTCTCTCCAACCTCAACAAGATTTTTATTTTTTACCAACAGGTCTTTAAATACACAATTATCTTTTGGTCATTTAAGATGTAGAGAATTTTTAAAATTTTTATAGCAAATTCTCATAGAGTCAAGTTAATTTTGGTACCAGTTTCCACCAATAACAACTCACACACACACACAAGAAAAAAGAGCTGACCTCAACTAGGCCTCTGTCTGACAATATTTTAGAGTCAAAATTCTCAATAAATATTAAGATTTATTGCCCCAGGATGCTAGCATTGACCCCAGTCTCAATTTGGTCAATATTTATTTCTCAGATCAATAAATCTTGATGGTAGCTGAAACTTAAGTCAATAGCTACTTGTTGACTCAAACAGGCCTTAATGGGCAATTTAGATAATAACTTAGACACACACACGCACTGTAAAAGGTTGCATCCTGACTGAGTCCTAGGCTACAGTACCCACCAGTCCTTCTTTCTAGAAACTTATGCACCTTCTCCTTTGAGAAGAAGGCCTAAGAACTGCCACTCATTTATTGATCACCTACCAACTTCTCTTCTAGGTGTTTTATGATTCCTGTCACTTGTCTCGACTATAGTGTCTACTAGGTGACGCGTATTAATCTTAGTGTTTGCAACACTCAAGTGATTAGGAGGTTGGATTATTGTTTTAGCGTTTCTAAGACAACATGATCATTTACAAGAAATGCATCCTCTAGAGATTAACAGTGGTTGGAAAGTTTTTGCTGTGGTTTTTGTTAATGATAAAGAAACAAGAAAGAAAGCTAGGGAGAGGCATTTTAAAATCAAGGTATCAAAACTGCCCTCTCTATCCCTTATTTAAACAAGACCAAATGTAGCAATCTGCTTCCAAAGTCTGCTAGTCAGGAATGAGGCCCCCATCACAGTGATGCTGCCTGGCGGTCTGATGACGCAGTTGGCCTGGTAAGTCTGCATGTTTGCAGGAACTCTTTATTCTAACATCAGCAGTCCTTCATCTTCTGGAGAGTGACAGAACACACTCAGAGAAGTGTGGCCTGGAGATGGAATTCAGAAGCCGAGCAGGCTTTGGGTCACTACCACCATAACAGATTAAAAAATGAAAATAAAAAACAAATAAAAAAACCTCTGGGCCCTCAGAACACTCTGGAAACTGAGGAATCTGATTGATTGTTTTCATAAATTGGGTCATGGACTCCAAAAGTCACTGAAACCTATGGGGACCCCTGGTGGCCTCACCCTAGTCAAGCACTCTCATGGCATTGCCTTGGGAGCCTGTGGAACTACTTCCCACACTTCCAGGAAACATCTTGATTACTTCCTCATTTCAGGAGAATGAGAGAGCTCCCCAGTGCATCTGATTTATTTTTTTATTGCATTGGGCCAGTTTATAGACTTCGAGGCAGGAGGAAGAAAATACAGTGTCTGATGTGGAAGCCAACCCGAGTTTAAAGGGAAAAAAAGCATCAGTAAGGAGGTGATGTTAGTAGCGCCCAAAATTAATGAGAAACAAAGTGAGAATTATTCTTAGGGTTAAATGGGTTTGATGTCCACTGTGCCCCAGTCAGCATCCTGCCCTCCTCCACAGCATGCCCACGAGGCCCTCCTCTCTGTAATTAAGCCCCATGTGCCAGGGTTGCTGAGGGGTCAGGGCACCCCTATTTTCCAAAAAGAAAATGAGTTCTTGTGAGCAAGAGGCTGAAGACAGAAAAATCAGGAACACTGTGGGCTTAATTACCATGTTTCCCAGTGGGTCTCGTGGAGCCTGTCTTATTCTCTCCGATCCATCGACTGCATTGCTGCCTGGGGCCTTTCCTGAAACTGCTCCAACCATGGCATTTCCCTGGCTAGAATATTCCAATGACTCCCCTTTGCCTCTGGCTGAAGCATGGCTCCTGTGAGTGGGAGGGAGGGGCCCTTCATCTGTCACTGCTTCCTGTCCTACCCACCCCCACCCCTAGGAACATGAGACCCCTTGTGGTCCAGGCTCTCTGACCTGCATCTGCTGCCCTTCTCATGACTCACCGGAGCTACTGTTTGATCCCCCACAAAACTTGTCCTTTCGGTCTCCTGCTCCCAGCTCCCACTCCTTCACAAATCTGGTTCCACCCACCATTTTAATTTGGGATCTTGTTGAATATATTTGACTGGCTTGATACATTTAACACCGTGCCTCTGGGTCCTTCGTCATGTTGTAACCTGTGTTAGAATTGCCTTTCTTCCTAAGACAGAACTACATGGCTTTGCATGGATGTATCATGTAACATTTTGTGTGCCCATCCACCATTAGTGCACACCAAGTTGACGCCTCTTTTCAACTATTTTGAATACTATAAATATGGGCATACACACATCTGTTTAGGTCTGTCCTTTTAATTCTG